TAAAAGTCCCAGGAATGTGTGATACAGTAACCAGAAGACGTGCTCAAGCGCCTCCAAACAGTGGCGAGGCAGAGAGGGGACGGGAAAGAGTGAAGCACAACCCGCAATATAGTCGCTACCTCTCAAACGACCGGGTAACCGAATGAAATTTAGGCCCGGCGTCTTCATTAGAAAGAGGATTAAGAAATGAAGAAGTGAGAGAGACAGAAATGGACCATGTCCTTGGTCTCAATGCACACTGTACCTTTCATAGAAGCCATTTAAGACACATTCTGTATGAGGCCGCTTCCAACGAAAAAAAGAAAAAAGGATAAAGTTTTTAGCATTAATCAATCCCATCTGAGGGATGCGCCCCCGCACTCGACTTCCATTCAGAATCGTAGTAGCGTGATGTGCGTTTGTGGCCTATACAATGAATTGCGGTGGCCAGCCGATGTAAAAGTCAGTACTTTTATCCTACCAGACGAGTCTGGTACCAATTGACCGACCGCGGAGGATGGAACGCTTGGTTGGCCTAGGCGGGCATAGATCCGGGATTCGACTTGACCGTGCGTGTGAGATAGTGCGCTACTTGCCACTTCACCACCTCCGCCCTTTCCAACGTATAAGTCTTGAAAAGCGGCACCATTCTCGCGAGCACTTATCGCATCTTTTTCAGATATCTCGATGTCAAATATGAGTACTTGTCTTACTGCTTGAAACTAAAAGAAATGGACGATGAGGAACTTGAATACCATTCTCTCAACGAAGGCCTTTATCGAGTGGAGACAGGCAATTACGAGTACCGGTAGGTTGTACTATCACATTATCACATTTGTTTTGCTTTCTCAGCGAATTTATGAGTGGGGTAACTATCCCAATCAGAGAATCTTCGCAACCTGTTTCTTGCGTTTAAAAGTTTGGAACATTCATATCCTTACCATATGGTGAAATCCATGGGTCCTTCAACTTAAATGGCGTGGCACGTTCGCCGGGTGTTAGGGCCCACAGTATAAGTTTGAGATTCAAATCCCCACTGTGTGATGGTGGTGTGTAGCTGCCGCGGAACCATTGGGCCTACCTACGATCGGAGGGATCCGGGGGTCCGTCACTCTAATAATCAGCGTTGAGGCAACTCGTGCTTGCCAGTTCCATCCCTGTCCTGATGGGCGCCGTGCCTTGGAAAAAGTATACTGCTAAAACCAGATTAAAGCATTGGGCACAATTTCGCGTTCTGGCTGATGAGCTACCCCAGCGCAACAAAAGTAGTTAAGTAAGCCCAGATTTCTACTCTTTCCTCCAGAACGGGCTTTAACCTATTTCATCTATCCAAAAACGAATGTTATGGAGAGCATGGAAATACTCGACGTTGAATTAATTTTATGAGACCTTTTTCTAAACATGCTACCAAGGTGATAAATAGGCTTTCAGGAGGTGATCCCATTTTCTTCTTGACAGAAATTCCCACTTTCATATCCTCACGCCTTCAATATACGCTCGCCCCGCTACCATTAAACTACCGTATCCACCGCTTTCATACTCAATTTAGCTTGATGCTTCGTTGTCGCCAGGAAACAAGGCAAAAATTCATACAGATGCGAAACGATGTTATGATAAAAATCGAGTTGTTGGATCAAAAACATGGTGAGCTGTGCACCCCTAAGTTGTTAGGTAATCAGGAAATATCACATCTTTTCAGTGAGAGATATCGCTCAACATCTGGCAAATTTGGCAACTGTCATGAAGGACTGCTTGGCAGAATGTTCATCTGCGCTTCAGAATACACAAAACACCCCCATAGAGATTGACATTATTCAAGTGAGTTCATCAGAAAAGGGCATATGCTCCCTGATTTTTAATCGAATTCCTTTCAATTTTCGGGCGTTCAGGATGGTAAAGAAGCGAGTCACTACCGTACCAGCTCTCCTACAATAGATCCTGCTGAAGATCGTAGTTCCCCTTCAAGGGCTACCGAGGAACCGCTAATCAACATGTCTGCGATGAACGAATCCTCGTCTGAGATTAATTTGATTGACATAAATTGATTGTAACACCAACTGGAGAGATTCAGCTGCCTACTGATGATACTGAACGGCAAACTCGTTCCCGAGAGAAATTTCTCCTCCGGTATTCCATCGACTTTCTAGCTTTGAGTCGAGTTGCAGGTTTTAATTAGATCTCTAGCGAAGCCATTACAGTTTTTAATGGGTACATGTGGGGACTTGAGAGAAGAGGCTGGGAAAACAGTTAGAAGCAATGGGCAGGGCTTCGCCGGGGGGTGCGTGGCTTCTATATTAGAATGGTCAATTCAGTTCATTTACTCGAGTTTTCCACTGTTCAGAATCTTTCACTTCTTATTAGGATATCACAAAACAATTATTTCAGTCAAATAAATATGAGATAGCTTGATGATATATTACAGTTAGTTGAAGCTCGTTCTAATAAAAAGTTCGAAGAGAAATTCAAGGCTTCCTGTCTTCATTCGTGACCAATTGCCAACCCTTTTCTTCATGACGATGGAGTTCCCAATCGTGGTATTGTTTCAATGATGTTCGGTGTCCAGTAGAAATATATGTGATTCCTTCCTGAAAAAAGTCTTGATTATAGTTATTCATTTCTTTTTGATTTCGAGCTCAATGTTGACATGATGCGCCAAGCATTCGGCTTGAATTGAGTACTTTTACACGATGAGAAGGGTATGAATGATGATCATGTCCAGCAATAGAAAGTACTGAATGCCGCTAGTACGGTATGGCCAATACCGTATCTGTATCCAGTAAGCAGCTGTACGTATAAGAAAAAAACACTGAGCAAACAGTAGTACGACGTTAGTCAGCTTACTTTTTGTAACAATGTATATACAATAGCTTCTGCGTCGATGGACAAACTACTCGTTGCTTCATCCAGAAACACAAACGGAGGTCGGTGGAGAAGCACCCGTGCAATGGAGAGTCGTTGTTGCTCACCAGGGGAGAGTGTGTCTTGCCTGAAATAGCAATAACACCAGTTTTTTTGAGTTAGCATCTACTATCAATGCTTACCATTCGAAATTAGGGGGGTCAGTCAAACTACCGCACATCGAAATCAGCGTTTTCAAATTCAACAAGTGCAAAATATTGACAATCCTGTCATTCTCTGAAAAACTAACTTTGCCTACGTATCATACAACACATAGAACCTACTTTATCGATTTGCTCAATTACTTTTTTATACTAACCAAATTTAAGAACTAATGAATAGTATCCAGAGACGTTATAAAGGATGATGCCGATTCCGATTAGGGGTGGAAAGGAGAACAAAGGCGGAGGAAGTGGACAGCATTTGTACCTTCATCGTTTGTTAAGCTTTTTTTTGCAAAAGTCCATATCATACCATGAGAATTCCGGAGTACCATCTGTCTTGCCCCTTCTATGCCTGTATCCGACCTTTTTGGTCCCAATTGTGTGAGCATTCTTGGATTTGGCAAGGCACGATATAATTTGGGATCGATGAATAAGGGGTAGAGAGAGGGACCGTTAGTCGATGAACAAAAAATGGTATCAGCATGTATGTACATCTTGCCTTTAGCTCGGGTCAGGTTTCATGCCTGTCCAATGTACTTAGTATTTTTTCTTGTATAAAATGACTACTCTACAGCTCTCGAAAAAAGAATTTTTGTATACTCCCAAAGAATTTGAAGCTACTTTCAACAGACCTTATTTTCCTAGTAAACATACACATACTGAGGTATTTCGCCAGTACAGGAGGCGAGTTCAAATTCAAGGAACACATCTTACAGAGCCCCTTCTACGAGCTCCGCCTTATCGTAGTACAATTATGTATCCACCAGAGTACTATCACCATACCATTGTGCTTTTGAATTCTTTTGACGACCATATATGTTGCGTTCCCGCA